CAATGCCAGAGCATTTCTTCTAGCTCAGTGTTTCTCACCCTTTCTTGGGATAGTGCCTACCTAGCCTTTATCCAGGTCCCTCACCGCCCCCCACCAAAGAATTTGTAGGCTACTTTGCACTGACCATTATTTTATCATTAAAATTACTATCACTATTGTAGATGTTTTGATTTTTATCCTTGTTTCTATATTTATCATCAAAAATAATTTCCCAGAGAACAAAAAAGCCATGGGAATAGAAATTATTTTCACTCACAGTTGTCTACGAAAAATGCAATGAACATTCAACTTAAAATCAGTAGGCCTAACAGCAGCCAATCAGAGTGGAAAAAATATTCTTGTTCTTTGCCATTTTCTAGTTGTTAAATATTCCAGAAAATGATAAAAGATGAACAACATGCCAGTTTAAACTTTGATCTATTTGCAAAACGACTGAGCTCTGAATCATTAAAACATGGATAGAACTGTAACTACATTAATCATAGCTCTTCTTCTCTTCATTGTTTCTGTGAGTTTCTGGTGGAGCAGCTCTGTGCTGCCTTCAGGAGAATGGGACATCAGAGTATCATCCATAAAATTTCACCCAAATGGCATTTATTGTGCAAACCAGAGCTTTCAGTGGAAAAACAAAAGTTCCAGATCCTTTTAATGCCATAGAAATTTGAGACAGAAACACTGATTATATCTTTATATAGGCCTGTATACTGATTCATAGATTAATAGTTCGTTGCTCCGTTCTATGTCCCGGTTCTACTGTTTCAGAGTTTTGTGCAACGTGCGCATCTTTTTAATTTTTTTTACCCCATAAGGTCGGGAAACGCGTATCGATGGAGAAAAGCAGACTTATGTTAACCATTTAGCTCCGGTATTCTGATTATTAAAATTCAAAAGTGCTCTGGTGCTACTGTTTCATACCAGATCACGCTATCTATCGAGATATCACTCATGGAGGGATTTATTTTTTTTTAAATAGGTTCATTTTTCTGAGGGACATACCACTGTACACCACTGGGTGTTGAGAAAATAAATTTAAAATAAGCTAGTTTTAAAACTTAACATGTCTTGATTCAAATGGCCTAATTGTGGTTTTAAAAATCAGTAATGTATTCTGGCCTATTGACCTTTATGTTACCTGTAAATTACAGCAGATGGTTTGCTAGGATCATTTGAACTGCCTTTTGTCTGTGTGGGAAAACAATACAGTAGAAGTTCTAGTTTTTCACACTCATCTGTGAAAAGCCGTAAACACAGCAGGAGTTTCTGGCTTCAGACAAAGGGTCAGAGATAGCTCCTGGTTGGAGGAGCAAAGATATGCCTTATTTGAATAAATTAAAGATAAGAATACTCCTTCAGTATAAAACTTTCTACACAGAAGTAACAAATTAGATTTGCTCTTGCAATTCTCCAAAGACGTCTTTGGACATCTTTGCTTTTCTTTCTTTCTTCTTTCCATTTATGTCAGGTAAATCAATGTATGTCTCCGTTGTTCTGCAGTTTCTGTTGTAAGTTTATTGTCTTCTATCGGATTAAACTCTGTAATTCTGTGACGTCAACAAGCATTGGTGTTTTCTTCTGAGTGACTACACGCAGCCTGCCGAGAGGACCTGGGATCTAAGAGGAAGAGAGAGAGCCAAACTTATTCCAAAATTAATTAATTCAGAGAATCTCTTTCTTAACAGAGGGTATCGTGACATATTTATAAGAGCAATTTTCTGTTGTCCTTCCATGGAAGCGTGCAGCATCCAGACGAACATTAAAACACTTTTTAATATAAGTTGCTGCAGGAACGCAGTATAAGGGGGAAAAGTGATGACAATTCTAGGGGCCCTGGCCAACAGGGGGCCCTCCACAATTTGTTCATAGAAATAAATAAAAAAAATCAGGGCCCCTGTCAATTACAAAATTAATCATACTGTATTTTCAAAGATTGTTTTTAGCAGTGAAAATTTAATGTTCCCACTGCCAGATTAAAAAAAAACACACATCCATAATTGCCCTGAACCCCCCTAACTGCGTTAAATGGTTCATTCCTGGTTGGAGCGAGAGTGACGCTGTTACCAGCAGTCAGTGGAAGACACAAACGACTGTAGCAGTTACTATGCTGCTAAGAAAAGTTATAAAATCAGGTTTTCATATAATAGAGAAGGAGAGAGAAAAAGGCAAGAGTGTTAATTTATAACCCAGTTTTTCTCCAAGAGAGGTGGGTAGACTGTGTGAGATTATCAACCATTTAGCATAATTAGCTTAGCTACAGACTACTGTTTGCCTCATTTACACTAGCATTTAATGAATTAAGGAAAAAAAATTACCAACCTATTCATATATTTAACTTGTCTTTTGTACCTTTTACCACTTAACAACAGAAGAGTCTGTCAGCAGCAGCTCTAACTACCATACCAGCATAAACCCTCTTCCTCCCCCGTCCCAGTGAAAAAGATGAGCAACACTGTGTTCAATAACAAGCTAGTTAGCATCATTCCAGGGAATCCATAGGGATTTCTCTGTTTTTGCTCTTTTTACAATTACACAACAAAAACAATGTATTTGTTGCTGACAGAAATTCAAACAACCTTTATAAAATGATAATATAAGATAAATATTTTTTTCACATTTTTTTAAAAACTGTCATTATGTTGTGACAGTATGGTATGAGAGGTAATCTGTGGAAAATCTATTTCCTCTGCTTTCTCCCACTGCTCTCTAGAAACAACCAGTCAGTGGCAGGAGAGTTTTAGTGCTGTCAATCACAATCTCATGTGGTGCTGCTCATCCTTCCTCCCCCTCGATTTGTGCAGTGCTGCAGCTAGCATAGCACAGAGCTGTGCAGATTCAAACTGTGAATGCTCAGTTTAGTTAGCATAGCTACCAATGATGGCAGATAAACAGTTTCTTGTAATGATAAGTTGTTTCTCCCCCATTAGCACATTTAGCAGTGAGTGAATGAGGCTAATTGACAGCACTAAGAGCGTCCTGCTAGTTCTGATTGGTTGTTTTGGTCAGAACGGTGCATTACTTTAACCAGTAATAGTAATTCAGGAAGGAGATGGAGGAGATTGATTGTTTTCACAGATTATCTGTCTCATGACAAACTGCTACATCATGACAGCTTTAACAAATATGGAGAAAACATATTTTTATTAAAGTTATGTACTGCAGCCTGAATAAAATGCAACTACATAGCATTTTTGAGAAGTCTGATTTGCTTTATGTGTAGTTGCACATTGCTTTTGACTGTTGTTGGGAGAGACATTTCAGTATCTAAAACTAATAGGAAAAATGTAAGCAACCAACTTGGATACTGGATGTGGACTGTTGGACGTTAAATTCATGAGCAGTAAATATTGTGCTAGTTATCAGTATTGAACCAAAGAAAGCAAGGCAGATGCAAGCTTTTAAAATTGTGATGCTTTTTATCGGTCAACTAGATTCAAAAAATTGTTACATTAGCTGTGCGGGGGGCAAACAAATTTTTTGTCAGGGGGCCCAAGATTCCTGGCGGCGCCCTGAGTTGCTGCTTTGACTTGATCACAGAAGCCAAAACATATGCACAAAAGTCCTCAATAAAACATAAAATATTTGAAAATCAGACGCCAGACAAGTGAACCACAGCAACGTCATCAGTTGGTTTAACGCTGAACTGATGTGGTGAAGCTACCAGTAGCAGGAGAACGGAGCTGCGCCAATAAGCTACAAACATTGAAAAGAAGAGCTGCCATTAGGGTTGCCACCCGTTCTTTAAAATACGGAATCTTCCCGTATTTGGCTGTTAAATGTTGCGTCTCGTATTGAACCGATACGGGACGCGATTTGTTCTGTATTTCTATAAATGTCCGATAGACACACCTATCACACACACCAACACTAAGTGTAACAATAATAACCAAAATAAAACACAGGTCAGCTAAATTCTCGTTGCAGGAGCTAAAGAACCCCAGAACGCTACGGACCGATGCAGCGTTCAGTGAGGCACCATCAACCGGGATCTTTTTAAAACATCCTCGACCCGATACTCCACCGCCCTTAGAAGTAAAACCTCTCGTAAAGATACTGACGTGAGAAGGAAAATGCAAATCCCAGGCTGAAGAATGTTAGTAAGGATGAACACAGGCAATTTAAAAAAAAAAAAATGTGTCCATCGTGGCGCAGTGTGCTGTATGATACTAGACAGAATAGATCAAGAGAGGAACACAGTAGACCCTGATATGGTAACATTTCGCTATGATTAAGTTTCTTATTGTGCTTTTAGTCGACTATATTGGTTTGATTATTTGCTTATTTAATGTAAAATAATATCAGCTAAAATAATGCAAATGATCATTTAAAGAACAAATCATACATTAGATTAACAGTAAATACATAAATACTTCCTATTTTGAAATGTTTATATATTTTATGAATTCATTGTTCAGTGGTCATTAATGCACCAGACACAGACCTGCAGCCCAGGGGAACCAAAGGAGTTATACTAAATAAATGTCTTATGTTAATACTCAGTGGTGGATTTTTTTTTAACTTCACAATTTTACTTTAACAATAAATTAAAATTATAGTGCTGCAGTTTTAGCTGCTGTGTGGAGATAGGATCACACTTTCCATCTGGATCTGCAACCTGAATCTCTGGAGACAGATG